TTGGTCATATAACTGCTAGTTCAGCCGATTCATTAAGGCAGTGATTCTCAAGTAAGGTACCACAGCACCCTGGAGTGCCTTGAGATCTTTTCAAGGGTGCCACAGGTATGCCACACAATATTAGTACCGTTAGATATGCAAATGTGATTTACAAGATAAACCTAGAAATTTCAAATAGTAAACCTTACGGTCAAAATCATTCTGACCTGTTGCTCTAGTTCTTTTTTTTGTAGTAAAAAAAGTGAAAACAAAGGGCTAGCATTTTCTGAAGGATGCACTGGGTCTAAAAAGATTGAAAACACTGACCAGTAGGTAGGACTATACAGGTAGTTAGATGTTAGATGACAGTATCATCGTATCTCAGACATTAAATAACTCCTGTCAATATCTCAGACAGATACTCTTCTGTTTCCAAGAATCACTGCCAAGGCTATTTACCACCACTCACATTTTTGGGGTCTGGGATTAAAAGGCAAAGTGTGTCATGCATACAAAACTAGCAGCTCCAAGATATATGATCTTATGCAAGACTAAGTTTTGGACTACAGTATGGTGTCTATTCAAGTGTGCTTCCTGTATAATGTTGAAACCATGTTACTAGATTATTGTGGGTAGAATAGAACAGCCCTGAAAACTTGATAGGACTAAGGTTTCTGGTAGTTTGTCATACTACAAAGGAGAAGTTGATGGAATCAGGCATGTGGAGTGATGGACAGAAACAAGGTACAATAACGTAGCATTCTTTGACACTTCCTTACTCTTGTCTGAGGACAGTTCATACAACATAGTTACAGAGCACTGTCCTGGCTTTGAGTCTTGTAAGGCAAGATAAATACACTGCTGAAGTCCAGGATGCTCCATCATCTGTGTTGAGTACTACAAATGATTTTTCCTTGTTTAAATTCAGCCCTAGAATGGTAGAGATGAAGAATGTAATGCGCAGCCTGTGACCTGCCAAGGTAAGGTTCCTCAAAAACAAGCCTGCCATCGCAGTAAGGTTGAACTACTTCTCTGCTAGTACCTCAAGGCACTTAAAAAGGTGTTTAGGACTACAAACAATTGAAAAAAAGAAGGAATCTACTGGAAACGTGAAGTTCACGCATCTTAGTTATTCCCTGCAAGTTAGGTGGACTGCTACATGGAAATATGCTTCCTAGAGGTAGAAAGCCAAGAACCATTCCTCTGGATCAAAAGATAGGATTACTGAGGCAAAGGTTACCATTCTGAATAGGTAAATGAATACACTTATAATTATGTACCAGCTTCCTCCTCTTAGAAAAATATCTTTTCCCCTGCTATTTAAAAGAAAGTTCTTATGTGGTTCAGAGTGACAAGAGACTCTGCTTCCTGATATCAATCTTATAAGAAGAGACCCTGAAGAGAGATAGGGAAGCTCAGTAAAGGAGAAGAGTCTGGAACTGAATATTTAGTCTGTATGAAGCCACCTACCTTTAATATTGTTCCAGACTTAAAAACTGTTCCACTCATCTAGAATCAATTCCCTTTCCTCTCCCCATTTCAGAACCTGCCTGTTTTTAATTTAAGTGAACTGTCAAACTGGTTGCCTTGAGGGCAGCATTAGGCATATTGATTGTGGGTCTTCTATGAACACTGTTTTCTCCTTGGCTCTAACATGAAAATGGGGGGAAAAAAAAAGTCAGACATCTGAATTGTTTCCATTTTGAGTTACGGTGTATATCCTCCTAGTAATCTCAGCAATGCACCCAACTCTTCCAGTGTCTGTAAGGAGTCACTGGTTTAGCAGCTAATAGGGTAGAAGCCTCAAAGAGAAGAAAGAGCTTTTGTATTCTAAAATCTCATGGGGAATTCCCAAGAATTGCAGCTGTGGCACTTGTCTCATTACTGCAGTTGCCCTTGACCTTGCTGCAATGTCTGAGTCAGCTATTGCAGCATATTGTGAAGTTTGTGCTCACAAAAAAGCCTATAATTGCTGAAGTGGCTTACCCTTGTTAATATAAAGGTATCAGACTGAGGGCAAGTAATCATAATAGGAGAGGAACACCTGATAGCTTACGATCCATAGCTGAAGGTTGGCAGAGAAGCAGTTCTTCCTTCCTAGTGTCTCTCAATGTGTAGTTTTCTTTACTTTTGGAGAGTATTTGCAGGTTTATTTCCTGCACTTACTACCGTCTAGGAGTATAAGTAAGCCAAGTATGGGAAGACGTATAAAAATATTCAAAATCTAAGAAAGGAACTCTGTACCTTTTATGAGCCTTCTTTGATGTGGAAGTCTCTTGTGTCTGCTACTATATCTGTAATGATTCTAACAGGCTGCATTACCAGACATTGCCAGGTTATCTGGTAATGAAGTATGTACAAATTAGACCTTTTGCAATTTTTTTTTCAAGCACAAACTCTAAAAGAATCTCTAGTGTTCTAGCCATTCTTATATAGGTGACACAGAAAGACCTTTTGGGCCTTTAAATGTAATGTAATGGGGCAGACTGACCTACAACCAATAGGGAAGGATAAGGATTTAGCAGTTGGGGTACAATTGGAAGATGCTGATCCTTGGAAATCCGCAGTTGCAATAACCAAACTGAAGACGCCCCAGACTCTGGTAGGCGTAAACTCTCTCAGAAAGGGAGCATAATATGATCCTGGTTCAAGTAAGATTTCTAATATAAGGAGGTCAGTAAGAACAGGAGTGACATCCATACACAGATTACATAGGAATTCCAAATGCCGAGGATAATAGAGGAGACTCATGAAATGCACATGATCAAATCCCTTGTCCAAAAAAGCTGATACCAAGGAAGTTGGTACTACTGACATTAAAATGAAACCCCTCCCTCCATTACAGAACAAAAAGTACTGACAACATAGGTAAATGACACCTAATATCAATATCAAGAGTGCAGAAAAATGTGAAGGTAGAATCCACAGCACTGGTGTGGCTAACTACATGGGGCTGTTCTCTAGCTAATACCAGTGTGAGAATCAGTTAAGATGTTAGAGGTATCACACTCAGGCTTTGCAATACTTTTAGATGAAGCTGAATGAGCAGTCTCTGTTATTACATTAGAAAATCCCCCAGTGACCCACTCCTATGCACTTTGAAAATACAGCAAATAATCCTACTCCCTTCTAATGACATTTCAGAAACTGCTGCAGTTTACAAAGCTGTAAGAGCCAGGGAATTGGTAGTGAAGCTAGTACTCTCTTAGAAGAAGCTGCTCTGATATGGACAACTTATTTATCCAGATCAGAATATTTCAGAGGGAAAAAAAATTCAAGTGAGTTTCACTCAGATGATTTAAAAAAAGTAGAATATTTGCTTGTGATATGCCCCTCAATTAAACAAAAGCAAGCATTTTGATTTGCTGTCATTAGGTGTGTAAAACATCTCACCTAAGGGACAACAGTTAAAAACAGACTAGGTTTTTGCTTGGCCATGAAGACTGAAGACCTAGTATCAGGAAAAATGGCTAAAGCACTTCCAGAAAAAAAGAAACAAAAAGCCCCCATATCCCCTGACCCCTGCCCTGAATATATCTCCATTAAAACAGTAACTAGCATAAAAAAGTTAGCTACTTAAGCACAATTTGAGAAAGGTGAAGAAAGAATTGGGAGATGCTCTTCTACACCTTCAGGAAGTAGGCATGAGGATACATAGGTGCGGGCCATTGGACAAGTGACCAAAAGATGTGGGCCTTGATACACGTACACAGCAAGAAGGGAATATATATATATATATATATATATATATAAACAAGCTTTCAAAATGCTTATTTCTCAGCTGTTAGAAATTTTTGGAAAAATATATGTTGCACAGATAGGAAAACTATTAAGCTTTTGTGGCACAAATGTATGTAAAGCCCTGACAACACAAAGTACCATGGTACTTTCACTGCAACTGAAGAGGCCATATCTGGAGTACTGCATCCAGTTTTTGGTCCCCCACTACAGAAAAGATGCAGACAAATCAGAGAGCCCAGTGAAGGGCAAGAAAAATGGTTAGGAACCTGGGGCGTATGACTTCTGAGGAGAGGCTGGGGGAACTGGGCTCTTTTAGTCTGCAGAAGAAAAGACTGAGGGGGGATTTAACAGCAGCCTTCAACTACCTGACAGGTGGTTCTAAAGAGGATGGAGCTAGACTGTTTTCAGTGGTGGCAGATGACAGAACAAGGAGCAATGGTTTAAAGTTGCAGCAAGGGAAGTTTAGGTTGGATATTAGGAAAAAACAAACAAACAAACAAAAAACTTTGACAAAGTTTTGACAAAGCCCTGGCTGGAATGATCTAGTTGAGGATGGTCCTGCTTTGAGCAGGGGGTTGGACTAGAGGACTTCCTGAGGTCTCTTCCAACCCTAAATTTTCTATAATTCTATGATTCAATAAGATGACTGATACTTTCAGCTTCCCATCTATTGAAAGTGACTGTCAAGTGGATGATGTAGGGCCTGTACTTCCTCAGGAGAGAGGTAAGGAGAGTAAGAAGATTTTCATTGAGAACTTACTCTTAAAATGAAAATCCTATCAAATGTAATTGGGGGTGCAGGGGAAGGAGAAAAAAAAAAAAAAAAAACAGAAAAAAGCCATCTCCCTTTTCCATATAGCACAAAAATGGTAGAAGTGTGGCCAAGAGGTGAAGCCAACATGTTATAAAGGAACAGGGACACTCCTATAGCTTTGCTTTTTCCTGTCCTTATATACTACTATTAATATACTGCCTTGCCTAGCAGGGACTAGCAGTGGAAAAACAGTAGCAGTTCAGTGTCCAAAAAACCCACTTAAATCAAATGGAATCTAATATTATATGCAACACCATGAGGACAAGGCAACATCATGTAACAAAAAGTCCAATTACTGTTCAAGAACAAAACAGACAACTTTAATCATTAGATCTCTCCTTGTAATATACACCAAAGAATTACACAAGTTCCTTATCACAAAGATTGGAAGACTAGTACTGCAAGAGTAGTTAGCAATAAGATACATTTCTTCCCTTGATGGTTTTATTAAAGCGTGCACACTTACCATGCATTATAGTGTCTAGGATTGACTCTGATTGCATTTCTAAAACAAGCTAATGCTTTGTCTAGTTCTTCTGTTAACACAAACTCATGCCCCAGCAGAGTATAGGCATAAGCATAGTTTGGATCAACTTGAATGGCTCTTTGGAAGAACTTGATTGCAATGTCATGTTCTCGTTGCAAGCTGAAACAGTTTCCTGCAGCACACCACGCCTAATAAAACAACATGACAGAGTTACACGAGTCCCTTTTTATGACACCTGGTCTATATTAAACTGTCACACTTTAATATTAAAATCTATGGAGGTGGTGAGCCTTGCCTTAGAAGTGGTTACATCTCTGTCACTGCTCAGAAGAAGCAATAATTGTTGAAGAAGAGTATTAGATATATGCATATGGAACAGCTTTCATTCATGGGTCCCAAAGCACTAAGAAAACTGTTTAAGCCTCACTCCTGCGAGGCGCATAGGATGGAATGCAATATATAGCCAGGGGAATCAAGTTGCAATGGTTAAGAACTCTAAAAGGACATACAGCAAGCTGGCAGCAGTTAAATACTACAGTGATTAAATACCATGGAGCTTGTAAGACAGTAAAGGCACCCAGGTAGAAAAGTCAGTAGTCGGGTTCCCTTGCCCTTTGGCTCTCTTCAGAACAATGAGGAAACCACATAGGGAGATCTAATTTTGACAGTCTCTGCTCCCAATCCTGTGTATCAACCAGCATCACAAGGTTTTATGAACTCATAAGCTCTGATCTCCTGTTGTGCCCCAAATCCTGAACAGTACCACCATTTCTGTTCTCTAATGCTCAGAGGCTCAGTTTCTCCATGTGGTTTTCAGATTCTCTAGCTGCAGTTAGCAGATGTTTTGCTTTATATTAACTACTCCACATTTATTCTTTGCCCTCAGGCCCTTTATGATGTTCCCCATTCTCATCTTTCCAACTCCTAACACCACTTTGCTTCCCTGTGCCTACATGTACTGTTCCTCTCCTACAGCCATTCTTGTTCTCAGTCCTCCTCTCTCATCAATGCTCCACAATCTTCTAATTCACTAACTGAAGTTTTCTAAATTCAAATAAAGTACAAAGGAAAAAAAAAAAAAGAGACACCAATATAAAAAATAGACTACCCATAATACAAGATGTGCATGGTTACAGATGCTATTCCATTAAAGTGTGCATAATGTTTTGCACTTAATACATGATCACGTGTCATGTCATTGTGATCTTTTCTACTGCTTTACCTCTTGATGCATCTTTGCAAACTTAAGATTGTAAACTTTTTGTGTGAAGTACCTGGGTAGCACAAGGATGCTGTTAAATTAATATTAAAACTGCAACAAGTTTCTATTAAAAAAATTAAAGAATTTAAAGCTAGTGGCAGAAAACAATATCCTACCATTTAACACTCCTACCCATATACAGATGATGAATGATTATAAGGGGGATTTCCCCGAATTAAAGGTGCTATAGAAATACATGTCACTATTGACAGGTTTATAGATTTCATCCTGTTTCATGTAGGACAATATGCCTACATTTTCTATACTGGTTACAGACATCAAGTCACCAGGTAATCTAAATGCCATTCTAGTTTTAAATAACTGTCATATGAACATACCCAAGTTAATACTGGAACAAACTCTAAGTTCTAACTCTTGAATCTTGCTACATACAGTTACCTTCTTATCAAATATTCATCACAGCAGTATGTTATACCTCTGGTGAATTTTTATCCATGTCTGTTAAATCCTTCGAAAGGACAGAAAGAGCAACATCTTTCTGCAGATGCCACAGCGTTGTAGAATAAATCTCCATGCCTTCTACTCTGTAGTTTTCAATCCTCCTTACTTCTGAGAATATCCTTTCGGCCTACAAACACAAAAATCAGTGACATTCTGTTGACCCAAACTGCTTCATATAACAGACAGTTTCAAATCTAGCATATCTACCTTCTATCCAAATGAAGGAAAGACTAAAGTATATTTACCTGGGACAAATGAAAATCCATTATTAGCCCTCCCCAACAGCTTGTTCAGATTAGAACACTCTT